TTATTCATATAACGTTTTCATCTTTTGTAAAATTTTTAGTTAAGTTATTCACACTATGATATTTTATAAATCATAGTGCGTCGCTCAGACTTTATTAAGATAGCGGTATCGGTATAGAATCACGCTCTCACTGAATAGCAGCCTCAGTTATCCACTAAATACTAGCGTAAAATTTGTGGTTTATCAAATCTAATGTAATGGCGGGGGCCGTCTAGGATATGATCACAAACTGTAGACTTCCCGGAACGTTAGTGCTTCACGTCAGCTATGTTTTCTTTTACGCGGATTTTTATTGATCGTTTTGTTTGGCCTATATATGAGAGTCCACACTCACAATCAAGCTTGTACACTCCTGCATCATGTACAGGAATATTGCACTTGACGGATGGTAAGAACTGACTAATCTTCTTCGGCGGCTTGAAGAATGTTCTAATAGAAGCTTGCTTCAAGATGTAGCCCATCTTGTCTGTGATACCTCTGACATATGGTAGTACAGCAGGCACAAGCTGGACTGTGGCCGGCTTCACTCGGTCACTGTGACGTAGGCGCGGAACCCGAAGCTTGTTGTCGTGCAGAACCTGCTTGACGTGCTGAAGCTCGGCGGCTAGGTGTTTGCTGTCACAGATCCCTCGTGCTCTCTATAACAAAGATTTGCCCACGGTAGCTAACCGTGAAGGGTGATGGTGGGATCCACCGTTTAAATATCAGTTTGTATGGGTCTTTTTTCTATACACACTAACACATCTAGGAAAGCTAAAGAATTATTTGCCTCTAACTCCATAGTAAATTGAATTTTAGAGTTTATGGAATTAAGATGTTCTAAAAATGCAGTTACTTTGTCTGATGGTAAAATTGTGAAAGTGTCGTCTACCTTCCGCTTGTAGAAACTTGGAGTTACTGGTGCAGTAAGCAGGACTTTCTCCTCAAAGTCCTCCATGAAAATATCGGCGACAATGGGAGATACCGGTGAGCCCATCGCAACACCATCTACTTGCTTGTATTGCTTTTATTCCCTAAAACGTCTTCAAAGTTTTCTGCCCTTGTCTACTAAGATATCTATAGTCCAGACTCTTATCTCACCAATTTTAAATTACGCTGATGTCTGTTATCTGGAAGCTACAGAGGAGCAAATTAATAAACTTGAGCGCTTGCAAAATTTATGTATTCGATACATTTTTGGCTTAAAGAAGTTCGATAACGTTTCTGTTTATCGCAAGCAGCTTAAATGGCTCCCAATCTGCCTTTGCAGGAACACTCGAATCCTCTGTCTTCTCTTCAATTTTCTACATTACCCTACTATTCCGCTATATCTAAAAAATCCTTTTACTTTTGTTCATTTTCCAGATGTATCATGTAGATCAAATGCTAGAACTTTGTTAAGATTTCCGTCTTTCAATACCATGCTCTATTCTCATTCTTTTACTGTTAACCCAGTGCGATTGTGTAATTCACTTCCCTTTAGGATTTGTGATGCTAAATCGGTGTCTATTTTTAAAAGAATTGTTAAAGAGCACTATCATTCGCTCCATAATAATTAAATCGTAAGGTGTTGGTATGCGTATATGTAACATTAAAAATATATTTTTGATTATTGAATTATATTTTTTTATAATATATATATATATATATATATATATATATATATATATATATATATATATATATTTGTATTGCCTTCAACTATCCTTCGATAGGACTGCTGGAAGAAATTTCATCATGGAATAAGCTAAGTAAGTTTTTACCATTGTCCTATCGAATTATGTGTGTACATAATCTGTTAAATAAATAAATAAATAGATCGCTATTTGTTTTGAGCGTATTAGTTGTAGGGTCTGTTTTGACCTTTACGTATGTACATTCATGCGATAAAAGTTGTTGTATTTTAAAATTGTAATCCGACGTATCCATTATAATGGCAGCATTACCTTTATCTGCGCGGAGAATCGTAAGATCTGGTCTGTTGCGTAAGTTTTTCATTGCAATAAATTCATCTTTGAGAAGATTTAATTTCGGCGCTGAGCTTCGACGTAACAAGGACGAAATGTCTTGACGTATGGCCTCTAAATCTTCATTACCAATATTATTTTTATACAGACAGTCCTCAACATTACAGATAATGTTTTCATACGGGATTTTTTGCAGTGTTATTGCGAAATTCAAAGGTATGAATGGCCTAACACCGCACGTTGTTTATTACTTATTACTATTAACCTTATAAAGAAATACTCCGAGAAATTGAATCTAGACGTTAATTCGATAATACCTGCGTGTGCCAAACCACCGAAGTTGTATGGGTTAAAAATACACAATCCCAACGCTCCATTACGTCCAATAGTGAGTCAGATCGATTCGCCAACTTACAGATTGGCTCAACACCAAGCAAAAGTACTATCACCACTCAGAGGACACACAAGAGCACACATGAAGGATTCACACCATTTTGTCAGTGAGATGAAAAACCTATGTCTTACTTACAACGAAACTATGGTCAGTTTTGATGTTCAGTCTCTATTTAAATGCCTACCTGTTAAAGACTGCATGTCAACTGTAACTAGGAAACTAGAGGAAAACAACATGCCAGCAGAATGTGCAGTATTACTCAGAAATTGCCTTACATCTGGCTATCTATTGTGGAAGGAACAGTTCTACAAGCAAGTAGATGGTGTTGCGATGGGCTCACCGGTATCTCCCATTGTCGCTGATATTTTCATGGAGGACTTTGAGGAGAAAGCCCTGCTTACTGCACCAGTAACTCCAAGTTTCTACAAGCGGAACGTAGAACTTTTACAATTTTACTGTTACGGATCGCCGTAACGCCGTTCGAAAAATGAGTGAAACACGTTGGTCTTGCTTACTACTGGAGGCAAGCGGCGGTGAGGAGGAACTTTTTCTTTTCTTGCTGTTGTTTTCTTTACTGTAGCTGGAGAGCGACTGCCGACCGTTCTGACCGGCCCGTCTTATATACTATTTGGCCGTTGCTGGCCAGCGGACCCTTGCCTCACCCCCGCGCCTTTCTTTATTAGGTAAATTTCTTATAAACTAATGTACAGATTTAAATATATTACATTCTTACAATTACTTATTAAACTAATACTTATATAACAATTTTTCTACATAGTAAAGTTTAAAACGTTGTTATTCCAGTAATTTTGAGCTGAGGATCCTGCCCCCCGCCTCAGTACTATAAATATAAAACGTCGTGGCGCGGCGCGCGTAGCCTCATTCGCTCCGCGGCCGCGTCACGGTAACATGCCCTGTTTATTATTTATCGTGCCTAAAGGCTTAATACATAAGGAATTAAATTGCACTATACAAGGGAATATAATTTACATACAATACTTATTCTACAATTTGGCATTAATTAATTTCTATATTCTAAATCTATGTTAACTCTCGCCAGTTGTTCGGTGCCTTTATTGCGAGAGTTATTACATAGTTACAATACTATTTATTTAAAAATAAAAGCTATATTTCTCAATATTATTGCTACGGATTTTCCCGCGTTGCTGTGGGCAACCACCGCTAGTTATGGAACCGTGAGCGCGCCCCGACGATCATAACATTCTCATGGCTCCGCCCACCGCCCCTAGGTTGTTCCACTAGCGATGGTTACCACAAGCAATCCGTAAGTCATTTCGTTCGAGGTATTGCTATGTTTGCGTCGTGCACATTCTCCCGCCGTCGCCACGCTGCGATCCCTCTAGTAGCACGACGATCTTCTTTGTCGGTCTTCGTAGTACATGCCCCGTGCTTGTGGTTACGTCCACTACTCGTACCTCTCTGTCGACGCCAGGATACACGTTGCTGATTTTCCCCCTGGGCCAGATGTTGCGTGGTAGATTGGAGTCACAAATGATGACTAGGTCTCCAATCTTCGGTGATACGCCTATGCTGCTGGGCTCCCGCCGGTGTTGGAGTAGGGGCAGGTATTCCTTTACCCACCTTCTCCAAAACACGTCGGCCAGGGCTTGAGCTCGTTTCCACAGCTGGCGGGCCGTCACGTCCCTCTCGATGAAGTGTCCCGGCGCAGGTACGTGCGAGTTGGGACCGATGACGATATGATTCGGCGTGATGGCTTCTGGATCTCATGGGTCGACTGAGACGTGTGTGAGAGGTCTTGAGTTGACCGTGTTTTCGACCTCGGCGAGCAGGGTCACCAAGGTCTCGTCACTGGGATAGCGCTCGTTGAGGGTGACGCGTAGAGCTTCTTTCACGGAGCGAACCATTCTCTCCCACGCACCGCCCATGAACGGTGCTGATGGCGGTATGTACTTCCACACAATTTGTCGACATGTGGTTTCGTGCTCGAGGGCTGCGAGTGCTGCTTCGGCCAGCTCCTTGTCGGCTGCCTTGAAGCACGTAGCGTTGTCACTCCATATTTACTTTGGGCATCCTCTTCTACTCATAAAACTCCTAAACGCCGACACGGCTGAGTCGGCGCTTAAAGAGTGGGCTACCTCTATATATATTGCTCGTGATGTCATGCAGGTGAATAACGCGCTATAGCGATTTTCACGATGTCGTCCCACTGTGACCTCTATTGGCCCGAAGTAGTCCAGTCCGGTGTATGTGAACGGACGTGCGTGATGAGCGAGGCGTGCGGACGGCAGGTTCCCTGTAGATGGTGATGCAGGCTTGGCTTTTCTTAGACGGCACGGTAGGCAGCTTTTGACGACAGTTTTCACCACTGGACGTATTTTTCTTATGTACAGTCTCTGTCTTAATTCGTTCACGACTGTTTCCACGTCTGCGTGATGCAACCTCTCGTGTACGTGGGTTATGTACAGACGAGTCTATGCGTGCTTTCCGTCTAGTATGGGAGGGTCGTACGTGTCCTCTTCTACTTCTGATGCTGCTTTTATTCGACCTCTGAGGCGTAGGGTCCCCTCTTCATCGACGTATGTGCTCAGGTGGCCTAATTTGTCGTCACCTCCCGGAACACTTCCGTTGGCGATCCTCTTGAGCTCCTTCGTGAAGCTTTCCCGCTGACTGGCTTGCACCTACAGTTGTTCGGCTCTTACGTGATAAGCGGCCGGTATTCCTACAAGGGATGAGACAGTAGGAGTTGCCTTTTTCTCCTTGGCGGGGATGTTGCGTTTGTTTGTTCTTCGCCAGCCAGGGTCGCTATCTTGTCTTGCTCGGTTGCGTTTACGCCCAGCCTTCACCACGTGTTTGTTTGGTCTGCACATGTCGATGAATAGGAGGACTCTCGCTGTCGCCATTATGAGGCGAATCCATTTTGAAAATCTTTCTATTTGTGGCAGATGTGTTGTTGGCGAGTCTACCCTTTTAACTGCGATGTTACATATTTCTCGTTCTTCCCCGGTGTCGTATTGTGTCGTTTTCTCTTCCTGCGGCCATTCTGCTGGTGGACGTTGCAGAAACGAGGGCCCTCGGAACCACCGGTGCGACTCGTGGAATCTTTCTGTCGTGGATCGGGTCGCGTCGTCTGCTACGTTTTCTTTAGACGGTAGCCAACGCCATTCGTTCTTCTTGGTCGTATCCTCTATCTCCGCCAGGCGATGAGCGACGAAAGCTTTGTACGCGCGAGGCTCCGATCTTATCCATACCAGTGCTGTACGAGAGTCGCACCAGTATGTCTTGCCCGCTATATCACCATCGTGCTCATCGACCACGGTCTGCGCGAGACGAGGTCCCAGCAGTGCTGCTTGTAATTCGAGCCGTGGTATGGAGATTGGCTTCAGTGGTGTTACGCGGCTCTTGGCGGCAGCCAATGATACGTTAACGCTGCCGTCTGCTCGCTCCGTTCTCCAATACACGGCTGCTGAGTAGGCCTCCTCGATTGCGTCGACGAACGTGTGTAGTTGGCGCGTCGACACCGGGTTGTAATCGTAGCATCGCGGTATTCTCAGTAGTTCTATGGCGTTAAGTGAAGTAATCCAGTCTTCCCATTTTTCTTTTAATTGTGTGGGCAGAGGGTCGTCCCAGTCCGCCTTGTAACGCCATGTGTCTTGGAATATTCTCTTCGCTGGGGTGGTCACTGGTGATATTAATCCCAGCGGATCAAATAATGCCATTATGATGTTAAACGCTTCACGTTTAGTTGGCAAGCGTTGTTTTTCTTTTACGTCGGCAGGCATCTTCATATTGTGAGTATCAAATTCAATATGATCGCTTTGTACATGCCAGAGCAGCCCTAGCGTCTTCTCAGTTTCTTTTCCGCCCAGGCTCACGGTCGCGTCGTGTTGTTTATGTTCTGTCGTTATTTCTTCTATTGTTTTCTCTTCGTTCGATGTCCACCCGCTGAGTACGAATCCCGCTTGTTTGTGGACGTGATCGACTGCTTTTACCGTTTTCTGAGCTTCCGTGACAGAGTGGAAGCTCTGCAAATAGTCGTCCATATAGTGATTTCTTTTTATGGCGACCGCAGCTTCTGGGTATGCTTCTGCATGTTCTTCTGCATTTTTATTTTTTATGTATAATGCTGTGCATGGTGATGATGTCGCTCCAAAGATGATTGATGTCATCCTATATTCTTCCGGTTGGTCCTCCCGCCGCTTGCCTCTCCATAAGAAACGTAAAACGTTTCTATCTTCTTTGCGCACTTTGATCTGCATGAACATTTCTTTTATGTCGGCGCTCACTGCATACGGATACTGTCGGAACCTCATGATTACTCCGGGCAATGGTTGTAACAAGTCGGGCCCCGAGTGAAGCATATCGTTGAGACATATTCCGGCTGTCTTCGCTGCGGCGTCGTGCACCAATCTCGGCGGCTTGTCTGGTTTCGCAGGGTTGATGACTGGGAAGTGTGGCAGATACCATGTCCTTCCTTGCGGCGGTGACATGGGCGCGCGCTCTGCGTAACCCGAGTTGAAAAGGTTTTGTATGCGTTCTTCGTACTGTAGCTTGAGATTGCTGTCTCGGTCGAGCCTCTTCTCTAAAGTGTGCAGGCGCCTTTCCACGTCCTTGTAATTATTCGGTATTTGGAAATCCTTTTGTTTCCACAACAACCCTGTCTCGAATCTGCCGTCCGCCGACCTCTGGCTGGTTTCCCTCAACATTTGCATAGCTCGTTGCTCGGGATCTTCTTTCGGTCTTCTTGGCTCGATGCACAGCGATTCTAATTTGAAATAATTTTTTATTTCCTCTTCTATCGGCTGTGTATCTTCCCTCTGATGTAGTCTGCCGCAGAAGGTGACCGTCGACGTCAATGAGCTATGACAGCCATGCAGAGCCCAGCCCAGGTTGGTATGTGAGGCGACTGGTTGGTCTCGACGACCGGCGCGCAGTTTTCTAGACACTATGAGGTGCCAGTTATCTTGTCCGATTAGTATTTTCGGTGAGGCGCGTTCGTAGGTGATATCTTCTTTGATATCCAACAGATGTTGGCAATTCTCCAAGTGATTTTCATTCACGGATTCTGGCGCGAAGTCCAACCGCTCTACCGTACGCGCTGCTTCTATGTTGTGTTCCTCTTGCGCGTACTTTCTTCTTATTTTAAAGCTGATGATCTTGCTCTTCTTATGTTTCACCTCCGAGCCGACCCCTTGTATCCACATTGCGTGGGCTGGGCCTTCGGCGCCGATGACGTCGGCGATCGAGGCATCGACTAAGGTGACCGTGCTTCCTTCATCCAATAATGCGTATGTTTTGACGCAGCTTAGCGGCCCCCTTATTGTTACGGGCGCAATCTTTAGATAAGCGCGGCGGTGTTTGTACGGTTGAGTCGCTGTGATGACCTCCCTTGCCGATGTTGCGGTTTCCATAGCGGGTTCCTTTTCAATTTCTGCTGTTCTATCGTGATGCAGCAATTTATGGTGTTTCATCATGCATCCGCCTTTTCCGCACGGTGGAGCTTTACACAGCAATCGGCGATGTTTACCTCGCAGACAGCGGTAGCAGATATTATTCTTCTTTGCTACTTCCCATCTGTCATTTGTGGACAGAGCGGCGTATGACTTACAATCGGGCAGTTTGTGTTCTTGTTTGCATTGAGGGCAGCGTTCTTCATATTGTTTCTTGCTTGTGGCGAAGGCACGTTCTATTTTTCTTGGTCTTCGCTCTCTCGTCTCGTTGTCCTCTGCTATGAACTCCGGCAAGGCATACGCGCTGCATTTGTCCGCTTCATCATTTAAGAACATTGATATCTTCTTAAGCTCTGGGGTATCTTCTTTCTTTCTGGCTGCATAGTCGTACCATTTGCTTCTCAATATAGGCGTGAGTTTGTCTGTGATAACTCGCGTCATTTCCGGACTATGCAGATAGTGTGCTTTCTTGAGTGCTTCCACGGTGCCCACTACGTTTGCTATGCGATTTGCGAATATGCATAGCTCCCTGGGATTGTCCGTAACTTTATTCAGCAGCTTCAGCTTCTCTATTTCCAAGTGGATTAACGCTTCTGGTCGTCCGAATCTCCTTTCCAAAGCCTCCATTATCAGGCTGGGATCTGGTTGGCTTATAAGTAGGCAACCTGCGGCTTCTTTTGCTGTCCCTTTTAAGCTTCGGCGTATTCTAGCTATGTTTTCGTTCATCGTGAAGTACTTTGAAGATTCTTCGTATGTTGTTTTGAAGCTGAGCCATTCTTTGCTGCTACCATTGAATGTAGGTAGATCTTGCACATATTTCGGCGGCTCCCTTGTGCTTCGTACTGCTTGTGATAGAGCAGCGGCTAAGGTAGCGACGTCGATTTGTTGCTGCGCCTGCCCATTGTCTTCTTTCTGCGGCGCGGGTTGTGATGCAAACTGCGGAGCGGGTTGCGATGCGAAGTGCGGCGCGGGTTGCGGCGCAGGCTGCGGCGCTGGTTGCGATGTAGGTTTTTCTAGCAACCATGTACTAATGCGTACTGATGCTAAATCGTCTTCTATTTCTTCATCTTCGTCATCGGTTGATCCGACCTCTGCTTGTAATCGCTGCACGTGTATTTCTTGCAATTCCGTTCTTGCTTGCAACTGAGCCTGCTCGAGCTTGAGTTCGGCTAACCACTCTTTCGCCTCTAACTCCGCAAGGAGTCTCTTGCGTGAGGCTACGGAGCGGCGCGACCTAGTCTCGTCGGACCTTAGTGTGCGCTGCGATCTTCGATCCCTCTCTTGCTGGGTTTCTTCCGTTGCGGCCGTGTTATCGGTCACAGAGGTAGCGGTTGTATCGCTGACCGTTGTGGTTTCGCTCGTGGTGTTGGATGTACCAGTAGCGGTTGAGTCGCCCCCAGAGGCCTCTTCTGTGGCTCCCTGGGTTGTTTGTTCATCCTTGCGACGCTTCGATGATTCTCCGTTGTTACTACGTGTAATCACCATTTTTCTTCACAATAATATTTTTCGTTCGGGCGGTTTGCTTCTTTCTTCCGGCAATATCAAGACCGATATTGTCTTTTTCTTCCAGTAATCCGGCTTCTCGTAGGACCATTAATGTTACGGATCGCCGTAACGCCGTTCGAAAAATGAGTGAAACACGTTGGTCTTGCTTACTACTGGAGGCAAGCGGCGGTGAGGAGGAACTTTTTCTTTTCTTGCTGTTGTTTTCTTTACTGTAGCTGGAGAGCGACTGCCGACCGTTCCGACCGGCCCGTCTTATATACTATTTGGCCGTTGCTGGCCAGCGGACCCTTGCCTCACCCCCGCGCCTTTCTTTATTAGGTAAATTTCTTATAAACTAATGTACAGATTTAAATATATTACATTCTTACAATTACTTATTAAACTAATACTTATATAACAATTTTTCTACATAGTAAAGTTTAAAACGTTGTTATTCCAGTAATTTTGAGCTGAGGATCCTGCCCCCCGCCTCAGTACTATAAATATAAAACGTCGTGGCGCGGCGCGCGTAGCCTCATTCGCTCCGCGGCCGCGTCACGGTAACATGCCCTGTTTATTATTTATCGTGCCTAAAGGCTTAATACATAAGGAATTAAATTGCACTATACAAGGGAATATAATTTACATACAATACTTATTCTACAATTTGGCATTAATTAATTTCTATATTCTAAATCTATGTTAACTCTCGCCAGTTGTTCGGTGCCTTTATTGCGAGAGTTATTACATAGTTACAATACTATTTATTTAAAAATAAAAGCTATATTTCTCAATATTATTGCTACGGCTTTTCCCGCGTTGCTGTGGGCAACCACCGCTAGTTGTGGAACCGTGAGCGCGTCCCGACGATCATAACATTCTCATGGCTCCGCCCACCGCCCCTAGGTTGTTCCACTAGCGATGGTTACCACAAGCAATTCGTAAGTCATTTCGTTCGAGGTATTGCTATGTTTGCGTCGTACACATTTACCATCAGACAAAATAACTGCATTTTTAGAACATCTTAATTCCATAAACTCTAAAATTCAATTTACTATGGAGTTGAGGCAAATAATTCTTTAGCTTTTCTAGATGTGTTAGTCATTCGAAATCTAAATAACACCATAGGTTACACTGTGTATAGAAAAAAGACCCATACAAACCGATATTTAAACAGTGGATCCCACCATCACCCTTCACAGTTAGCTACCGTGGGCAAATCTTTGTTACAGAGAGCACGAGGGATCTGTGACAGCAAACACCTAGCCGCTGCAAGCAGGTTATGCACGAAAACAAGCTTCGGGTTCCGCGCCTACGTCACAGTGACCGAGTGAAGCCGGCCACAGTCGAGCGTGTGCCTGCTGTACTACCATATGTCAGAGGTGTCACAGACAAGATTGGCTACATCTTGAAGCGAGCTTCTATTAGAACATTCTTCAAGCCGACGAAGAAGATTAGTCAGTTCTTACCATCCGTCAAGTGCAATATTCCTTTACATGATGCAGGAGTGTACAAGCTTGTTTGTGAGTGTGATCTCTCATATATAAGGTAAACAAAACGATCAATAAAAACCCGCGTAAAAGAACACATAGCTGACGTGAAGCACCAACGTTCTGGGAAGTCTGCAGTTTGTGATCATATCCTAAACGGCTCCCGCCATAACATGAGATTTGATAAATCACAAATTCTCGCGAAAGAACATCGATTCCTGCCAAGGATGATACGTGAGGCTATTGAAACTAAAAACATCATAATTTCAACAGAGAGGGAGGCTGGGTACTACCACCTGCTTGGGATCCTGTAATTCATAAAATTAAAACTAAACCCAAGCATACCACTGCAAGACTTCAAGACACAGTTAGTTCATTCTGGGTAGATCGGATCAAAATTATTAATTAAAAAAGCTGAAGGTACTCCGGGTTAACTCTGACATCGGGACGTCAATCACCTCAGTCCCCCGTGACGACGGTTGCTGGAAGGCAACCAAAACGTCGGGAATATAAAATAAGTTAATTAAACGCGATAAAATCCGTAAAAGTAGTTTAATTCAATGTGTAGTGTTCGCGTAAATATAAGAAATCATTACATTCTCTTTTAGTTATTGTTATCAAAATGCCTCATTATCATAAGAATGCCCCTCCTGATCTCAAAACTCACTTGACGAAATATAGCAGCAATAAGCTACTGTCTGACACATGTATTCTGTGAGAGCGTGATTCTTCTTCGGTTGAGCCGACCCATTCGTGCTGCACGCCATATATTCAATTATTAAAATTGTTTATTTTTATTTATATTTTGAGACTTCTTTTTAATCCGAACTGTAATTTGTCTGTAAAATCTTGAAAGCAAACTTTACAAAAGTTTTACCGGCTATCCTTCTCTGCTGTTCGCTTTTCACATATTAACATCCCAGAGCTCGATTCTTTTGTTTTATTTATTGAAGGTATTCAATAATAATAGTTCATATTAGATCTTGGTTTCCTTCAAACATTTACCCTTACATGTCTGAACTGGAATGATATTTTTATATAAGGGCACAATTCATTTTACTCGAGAAATAACTTTGAATTTCTACAGAATTTGCTATACGTTTTATAAATAATACTGCAGTCTCGAAGCAAATTTTAATATCGCTTGTGTGCACAATGTATCAGAGGATTTACTCTGCAGGTACACGGACAAAACGATATTTTCATTCAGAGAATGCTTACTAGCCTTTTTGCATTCAGAGTCTATTTTACAAGATCATAATCACTTGTCAATGAATTTCAACCATATCCAATGATTACTTGAAGATGGTTCTACGCTAATGGCTGACGATATTGTCTACGAAAAAATTGGAGCAAACATTTTTGTGAAGGAAATGTTTCAAAGGAAGTATTTTTGTACAAGACCATGTGACTTCGACCGGATGCCATGAAAAAATCGGTTATTTATTGCGATATATCACGGAGTGAGTTAGTGACGAAGACATATTTATTCATGGAAGAAGTGAGATTATAACGTATTTAGCTACCTGCTAAAATAACTTCTAAATCTAGGTCATAAGCTTCATTTCCTAATGAAATATATTTCTTTCATTTTTATACATTCGTCCGCTTAATTGTTTTAATGGAACCTTGCCGCACTTTATTCATAGATTTCAATTAAGAAATAACTGTACGTGATAGTTTCTATTAATATCAAAGTGATAATTGAAAGAAAGGTCTGTGTGAGTTAGTCAAGGGTTCATTCTCGGGAGTCCTTTCCACTAATTATATCATGACGGCCATGCGGCTTGACGATCAGATTTTAATTTCAGAAGTTAATTCGTAAGTTTATATTCCTAAGGGATATTTTATTTGTATTTCGAATTTAAATATTTAACTTATTTTACCAACGTCGCCTTCGTCGCATCGTGGTTCAGAGCTCAACTCAGATGATTAGCGCACATTTCCTGGCCCTAAAAAACCTTCTAGAAATGAGAATGAGAGATGAGGCCTGTGCCCAACAGTGTATATATAGGCTGTGATTTTAACTTTAGCATATAATACAATATTTTTAACATTAGTTCATAAAAAAATAATCTTAAACACCTACCCCTCGTATCACTATACGAGGCACTGCCAAGAATAATGTCTGTGTTTCCTTGATGAATATTTAATACAAATACCAGTGGAATTTTCTTAGTGGATATAATTGTTTTGGGTTTACCCCGCGGACTGAAAGTTTCAACATAAAATGACACAAATACAATACATTTAATATTGTGAGACGTGTTTATGCCATATAAAGGTTGAATAAAAGTTATGAAAAGATGTTTAAGTAAAGTGGCCTGAGCAACATATTTTTGTGCTACAGCTTAAAGTAAAATAACTAAAATAACATTCAGAGCTGGGAACAGGCCTCCTTCCATTTCTTTAGAGGATTTTAGAGCTCGAAAGCGTACAGATATCATGAGTGTTGGCAGACTTCTTCACTATCAGCCTTGACGACGAGATCTCTTTTATTGGATACGAAGCATTCCATCTGCATTGCATCTGCATTCTGATTCTTTGTTGAGGATAGAAGTAGATGTATATGGACACAGTATCCACTTATCACCATCTTGGACTGTGTGCTCGTTTGTCAGCCTCATTCTATAAAATAAAATACACAAACTCAAATCCTACAGTCTACATTTATCCTCGATTAAGAATAAAAATGCAGATTCATTGTCAACATGGAGCACTCTCACCATACACAGCAGCATTAAGCTGCTATATTACGCTGGTGTTCTGTGAGAGCCTGGTCCCACCCTGGTCGAGCCGACTTATTCCTGATACAACCATAATATAGCCACAGGGTGGCTGTACCACTAAACTGAAAATGTTTACTATAAAAGCGCTCAATGGTTTGATATGCGGATCTAAGCAAATCAGTTTTTAACAATTTTAATATAATGGATTTCCGCAAAATAACACCTGATTCTGTTAATGGTTTTGGATTTGTCATTGTCATCACTCTTAAACGTCAAAGGATTCTATATATTTTTAAGTTGACAGCGCTTATCTACGATCCCACCTGATGGTAAGTGGTGATGTAGCCTAAGATGGTGAAGCGTACTGACTTATTGAAAACCTATTTCTTATTAACCTATATTCTTGCCTTGAAAACACCCACACTGTGATCGGATGAAAGACAGATGCTGGCAACTTATTCCACTACTTTGCTGTACGCATGGTGAACGATGTAGCGAACTGTTTGGTCGTATGAGTGGTAAGTCAACAACGAAAGGATGGAGACTGGCCGATCGCCTGATTGTCCGATGGTGGAAGGGAGAGGGGGGATTAAATTATGTAATTCTTGCACATATCCTCTAAAATCTATTCTGTAGGAAACCGAAAGGCTGGCTATTTTGCGTTTGTGTTCGAGGCTGGTAAGATTGATTTTAACCAAATTTGGGTCACCAATAAGCCTCTTAGCACGCCTTTCTATTGAGTCCAAAGCTGCTAGGTGACATTTTGCAGCACCAGCCCATA